CAGTATGCAAAGCACTCACAAAACTGAGTTACTGATTTGCTCAGGCAACGGAAGCGTAAGTGTGACTTTTCATGACAAGATTTTACCTGATCTACTTTTCCTTTATCAATTATTTGGATCCAGTCTATTTGCCAATTGATTTGGGGCAATGAGTACGGTGCAAGCACTAGATGAAAAAATGAGTGCACGTAGATGAAAAAATGAGTAAGATGATTTTCATTCAATCTTCTGCTTAGAATTCATTTTAAGAAATAAAGAAGAAGATAATAATCTGACAATCCTCCCCTAAAGTAAACCAGTGACCAATAGCAGGAAAATCATACATGCAGGGGAGTTTCCACTGTGTTAATTTTCTAGTTTACCCTTGACAAAGTTACTTAGGAAAATATTTAGGCAATTTAATGTAATATAAATTGCTGTGACGTAGTCCTCCAATAGAGGACCATTAGATTCAGTAGACATTTGTTTCAAGATATATATTAAATCAGTTGAACATTATAAATAAATTTAAGTCACCGTAGATTACATCAAGTTACTTGCTTACCATATTTTAGGTGCATTTTGTCATGATAAACAATTGATCTTAAAGAAGACGGAACTGGAAGCAAAAGATTGCATTAGCACTGATATTTTTATCGTTGAAACATTAAAGCATGCCATACTTGTTCCTAATGTAGTACAGTCAAAACAAAGTGAAGGTTACTTACCTTTATCCTATTCTCATCTTAATCTTTTATTCTATTCTTTACTTACCTTTTGTAAGTAAAAAGAATGTGTATATAGTATATGGCATCAAAGGGGTGTCACCATATACAAAATATTTACTAAATTTTACTTAATCCCCTTGTTTGGTGCTTTGTGAATATATACTTCTTAAACTTCTTATTTAAAAAATTTTTTTTTTTTACTTAAACTGATATGAGAAATATGTGCAAACATTCAGCAGCTTTTCTCTCTCGAGATTAACGTTTATAAAATAAATTATTCTTTCTTGTTAACTGTTTGCTGGCTTCTTTCCAAATTCAGAATGTCTGGTAGGGATATTAGGGATGTTTGCCAGCAAGCAGAACGATCATGGGCATCAAAGGTAATTATCTACTTTTTGTTATTCTGGTACATGTGTGTTCATGGTAGGCTTGTTGAGTTAGATGAGTCAAACGAGTAGCACTCTCTTTAGTATCTTTCTTCTAATACAAATGTTTGCAAGCTTTTGATCTATAAGTTTTATGCAGTAACATTGATAAAATATGTTGGGCCCTTACGTTACGATCTCTTCGAATATCTTGAGCTACAACATGGATATAGTTTTCAGTGACTTGGTAACTCTTATTTTTTTCATTTTAAATGAGTATGTTCTAGGTTGTAAGAATTAGAACACGTGATTCTCCTGGTTACTCAGTTCAAAAAATTTGTTCTATATAATCCAAATTAACACTAATACGACAATTAAAACTAAAATTGATTAAATTGAAAATTAAACTAAACGCATCTTTGTATATTGTAAACAATACGAGTTACAATAGCTTACTACAACACACTAATCATCTTAGAGTTCTTCCCATTGCATGGTGCTGTTTTTGCTAATTTCAGCAAATCTGAATGATTCGATTCAGATAATCCGTGGACAAGTTAGTAAAGATGGAGACCAAGGCTCTCTTCCTCCTCTCCAAGAATACTTGGAAAGTGCCATGAACCGGCAAAAGGCCCTCCGCAGTATTGCAGAACAGAGAGCACAGAATCAAAATCTCGACTCTCCCAGGCGGAAGCCTCGTCTTTGTGTTGATTGATGGTAATCCACTTCTCTTTTTCGTGAAAGGAGAAATTCTTACAGGTGAATTTGTTCAAGTATTTCTTACATGTTCAACCTTTCGTAAGTCGATCACTTCATTTCCCCAACCATATCTGTTAGCGTCAATCAAACTAAATACAAACTAGCCAAATTTTAGCTTTGATGTTGGTCTATTATGATTTTCCAGTCTTTAAGCTTTTGCTGCTTGTTTTTAATACACTTTGTGAATTTGGATGGTTTAGGTCACCATTGTTACTCGCGAGGAATCTCTTCTATATGATTTATTCCTTTACGAAGGGCAGGTATTATGGCAGTAAGACCTTTTGTAGAGATCTTCTCTGTATTTTTTTGTTCTTTAATGCTCTGCCCCAATATCACTGGTTAGAATCTCGATTTTATCGAAGATATAAAATTCTCGTTTTATAAATCTTCAGTGATTAATTTATAATATTTGATTCAACAAAATTTCAAAAATAAAAATAGTTTTTGCCCCATAAAATTATAACAATTTTTAGTGAAATAAATATTTTACAGTGACCACGTGCTCTTTCAAATTAATTTTTTATTCTTCAAAAAATTACAGTACTTATATAAACACAAAGCAGAGTTGAAAAAGTGGTAAATATTATTAAAAAAGAGATTAAAAAAAGCTTAACATGAGGAGTCAACTGGTCGCGGGATCGAGTTGCATGGTAGTAGACTGACGGCAAGGCGCTTACCCTGCAATAAATACAATCAATGACCGACGAAGACTAACTCAGTGAGTCGATCAAGCGAAAACTCAGTCGAGTCTTCTTCTTCTTCTTCTTCTTCTCGCTTCCTTTTTCTACTCGAACTCTGTCCTCCAACCAATGATGCGACCTGCAACTGAGTCTGCAACACCATCCGAGTCAACTCTCCCTCCATTTCCGCTCGCCGCTTCTCCGCTTCGTACCTCGAAGCTTCCCTCGCCTTGACCATTTCCATCTCCGCGAGCTCCATCCTCAGCATCGACTCGGAGAAGACACGGAGACTCGCCGCCAGATCCGACAGCGGCCTTGACTCGGAGGTGTCGGGATCGGAACTCTCTGGGTCGTCGGAAAATCCGTCGTCGTCGTCGTCGTCTAGATCGGCACCGGATAAGAATCCTCCATCGCAGGCGTGATTGAGACGGTTATTGTCGTCTCTGCTTGCTGTCCGGTTATGTCCGGTTCGCGCGTTTTCGTCGGCCATTGTTGTGTCCTCGACTGCCTTGGATGCCATTAAAAAGTGAAGATGCAATCGAAAAGTGAACACCGTGCATTACCATTTTTAAGAAAAATAAACTATCACTCGCACTCGATCGAAGAAAATTACTACTTGGATTTGACATTTGGGTTCCGATTTCAGCATAAGTAAAATAAAATATTATTTTTAATAAATTAAATTATGATTAGTGAATATTTATTATTTAAAACGAAAATATATATATTTTTATTTAAAAAATTATAATGTATTAAATAGTTTAAATTGGAATATTATTTTTCTAATATTTTATATAAATCATGTTATGTAAAAAATTTAAAAAATTCTATTGCCGTTTTAAAATAAATTTAAAAAATTATATGCCAGCACAAAGTATATATTAAGTTAAATCGATTCTCTATTCTAAAAATATTGAATAAATTATTAAATATATATTTTTTAAAATAACTAATTAATTAAACTAATAATAATAACAAATAGAGTTAGAATTATCTTTAAACCATTCTACGTTGCTTAAATTTTTATAATTAATTCAATTAATTATATAGAAATTTTAATTACAATAGAATCTTCTTTACATAATATTAATTGGTTATACATAGACATAAGTGTGCATAAAGTTAGATTATGATGTGTGCCATTATCATGCATAGATTCTTTTTTCTTTGTCATGTAACATATATATATATATATATATATATACATACATAGATTGTACGTCATGTATATTTTTTTGGGTAAAAATTATATATCACATTAACATCACATCATTAATAAAAAAATATTTATTATGTTCATATAACCGATTATTTAATTAAAAATTTTATCAATTAATTTAATTAAAAATATTCATCTTCAAGCCGAAATTATGCATTTCTTACATATATATATATTTGTTTATTTATAAAGGGTTATTATTTATTCTCATGATTATAATTATGTTTAATTGGTAATTTATTTATTTTTCTTTTATTATTATCAAAATGTTTTCTTTCTATTTATGATGTATTTTTCTAAATAATTTATTTATTTTTTC